TGAAGTGATGATGAACTGACAGAGAATGAGACCAGAAATTCAACTTCAACTCCATCGGTTTAAGGTACGTTTCGAGATAATTTAATAAAACGACAACACGACAGAACCGTTGATTTAGAACAAAGATTCACCTGTAGATTTGCACCGTGGAGGATGATGGATTCTCGGACTCTGACCCCGGCACCGATGGTGACTCCAGTGCCAATGGAGACGTTCGGCCCCAACTGTACAACAGGAAGCAGGTCCTTATTATTTTATTAGTGACAACAAAATGACGTATAAAAAAATAAAATATAACAAGAGATCCATATATGATTAGCACAAAAGGAACAAGATCAAAGAGCAACTGAAAAGCACGTGACTTGTGATCTTCCACATTTTCTTTATTTTTATCAATCACAAGACATTACAGGCGACCCCATCTGGGGTTGCAACCCTAAGGTTGAAAAACATTGGTCTAGAGTACGGTTGTGCCTGATATATGTAACTTAAACTGATGCTAAGGTGTGACTTACATTAAAAATGGTTGTTACGTCCATCAGGGGGCAGTGCTGAGTTGAGCGTGTACATCTGAGTTGGCGTCAGTTTCTCAGACGATAACAAACTGTTATTGTTGTTGCGTCTTCTTGCTGTTCCTTTAGTGGAACGCGTGACCTACCCTGCTCAACACTGCCCCCCCATGGTTTCTAATGGTAGGACTCAAATTCACAAGTTAGGGTTCGCGTTCGCAAGCTCTCAGAAAATGTATCAAAGTAACAAAGACCGAGGGCAAACGAAAAGCTCCGTGTGCTGCTTAGCCCTGAGCTTCAACGAGGCTAACTGTTGACACGAGCGTCTCTTACCGTAGCAGTGGGGTCAATGACGGCTGTAGGATGGATGTAGACGTTACCTGGAGACAAGGACAAAACCTCGTTAGACTGAATGGCCGTCTAAACAAACCAGCTGCTGATTAAGAATGAATCTGACCACTGATCCTGGGACCGCCCTCCTTATCAGAGGCCAGTCTCTCAGGGTGAGTCTTGTGATACTGGCTGAGGTACAGACGGCTGGCATAAATGGCTGACCTTTAAAAAAAAACAAAACTTATTAATAAATGTGTTGCTTTTGAACATTAAAAATGTTTCCTGCTTTTGGACAATTTTCCACATCCATCTCAGAGCAATCTCTCGCTCATCGGCTCTTCCCAGATATTTAGTGGGCGACGTTGACCCGGCGTGTTGTAGCGATAACTCCTGTTGATCCTGACAGTGTTTATGACACACTTACTCACCCCGCAGATTTAATCTGGCTCCAGAAGCTGAGAGTTTTATACACATAAAGTTTGGCCTGTCCTGCCAGGGCTGTGAAAATGTCCTGTTCCAGCCGGATGGCCTCCGCTCGGTGCCAGCCGTTGGTGGGCTCCTCTCTGCAACAGACAAATGACCGGTTTATGGTGCGGCGTTACAAACCAAAGTTAGGGACTGTAGTCAAGTTAGAATGATGGACCACCGTCAGAGGGAAAAACAAGATAAAAGGTGAGAGTTACCCAAACAAAAACTACCAGCTGTACTTGGATACAGTATTTTTGAAGTATTACTATTATACTTCATGGTGCTGTTGTACACACTCCTTTACAGACGTGTCATACATGCAGTTTGTCAGTATATACAAAACCAATCAATCAAAATGAATAGAACAAATCAAACATTCATTCATGTATTCAGTTTTGTTCCGTCCATGAAATACTAGTGATAGAAAAACCAGAAACGACGTTCCACGGTTTCCACTTCAGCTCATGAACTATTTGAGAGTGTTGAAATATTCACTATATTCAAGTCCAGTGAAGCTAAAGTCAAACTGTTATTGGCCAAACAACCCAGGGCCCTGAATACATTTAAATTCATCTGGAATAACGTCTGACCGTGAGGCGTCGGTACTCGTTAAATCCACACTGGATTATCTGGAGCGGACCAAAAACACCATGTTAATCAGGGTCTCTCCTCTTTATGGGGGAGATGAAACAGAATGTCCAATATTGATAAAGAGAATATTTTAAAGGTTGGAACACGTAATTCAAGTTCAAATCAAAAAGGAGGAAACCTGGACTTAGAAGTACTCCAGACTTTGTAGTAAAACATGCAGCTATAAAATATCCATGATGTGACTGATCCTCCACTGTCCACTGTCCACTGTCCACTGTCCACTGTCCAGTGTCCAGTAGGTTCTCCATCCAGTTGCCTTCGATGTAACTGTTGTTATTGTTGTTGTTGTTGTTGTTAAATTAACAGCAGATCAACTAAAGAACACATTCAAACTCAGGGGTTTTCTTTTCATTTCTTTCCAAAATCAAATATAAAGACAAGTTCGTTCCTTCTTTTTCTTCTTCACACCAACTGTTCATGAATGTTTCACTAATCCTGCAGCAGCGATCCAATATTTATTTACAGAACAACTCAATCCTGGTACAAGATGGAGGTTCTGAGGTTCTGAGGTTCTGAGGTTCTGAGGTTCAGAGGTTCTGAGGTTCTGATGTTCTGAGGTTCTGAGGTTCAGAGGTTCTGAGGTTCTGATGTTC